GGAAGGAAGGAAGGAAGGAAGGAAGGAAGGAAAAATTTTAACGTATTAATTTCATAAATTTGAACTGATATTAAGGAAAAATAGGCTAAATCAATATATTTTACAATAATTCTTCTTAAGGAGATGTTCACTAATAATCATCGAGCCACTAACTTCACATGGCCCAAACCAATAAAAGGTAGAAATAAACTTTAAGACATAAGCAAAGTCTACAGGAATCCAAAGAAAAGTTTAAATGCAGACCAAGAGAATGAAATACTAAATGTTAGTGATAACCCCTAATTGTTAAACTCAGGAAGAGAGAGATGAAACAATCACACAAGATTCCTTCAAGAGTCAAAACTTTAGAGCCAGGTGTCAATGGCTCACATCTGTAATCTTAGTTATTCAAGAGACTGAGATCTGAGGACTGGGGTTCAAAGCCAGCCTGTGAGACTCTTATCGCCAATTTAACCAGCAAAAATCCAGCAGTAGAAGGGTAACTCAGATGGTAGAATGCCAGCCTCTCATGCTCAGGGAGAAGGGGGTGGGGGGTGGGGGGATGAGGGAAGCATCCCAGACGGGTAACAAACACTAGGAACAAAGCCTACCTGTGTGAATCAGAAGTTAATCTGCCTAGAGGGGCTGAGGTGGCTCAGTGGTAGAGCGCTTGCCTTGCATGCATGAGGCCCTGGGTTCGATTCCTCAGCACCACATAAGCAGAAAAAGCCAGAAGTGGTGCTGTGGATCAAGTGGTAGAGTGCTAGCCTTGAGCTGAAGAGCTGAGGGACAGTGCCCAGGCCCAGAGTTCAGACCCCACGACCAGCACAAAAAAAAAAAAAAAGTTAATCTGCCTAGAGCAACACCTGACAACAGAGTAAATACATGCTGTTTTCACCACCACCATCATTTCTAATCTCTTCTCAATTTTTTATTTCATTTATTTATTTATTTATTTTTGCCAGTCTTGAGGCTTGAACTCTGGATCTGGGTTCTGTCCCTGAGCTCCTTTTGCTCAAGGCTAGCACTTTACCATTTGAACAACAGCGCCACTTCTGGCTTTTTCTGTGATTTAATTGGAGATAAGAGTCTCACAGACTCTCCTGTGTGGGCTGGCTTTAACCTGCAACCCTCAGATCTCAGCCTCCTTAGTAGCTAGTATTACAGGTGTGAGCCACCAGCTCCCAGCTTTTATTGTTATTATGAAACAAGTTATACAATGGGTTTCAATTCTGTAAGTCAAGTTATAAGTACGATGCATCTTGACCAATGTCTCCCCTCCTTTCATTCTCCTCCGTTTCTCCCACTCTCGAGTTACATATCCTCTACCCTCAAGTTACATAGCTCATTTTTTACATTGTATATTGAATATAATGACTGCATTTACTATATTCTTTTTCTTTTTGCCCGTCCTAAGACTTGAACTCAGGGCCAGGGCACTGTCTTTGAGCTTCTTTTGGCTCAAAGCTAGCACTCACTCTACCAGGTGAGCCACAGTGCCACTTCTGTCTTGTTTTGTTTATGTGGTACCGAGGAATTGATCCAGGGCTTCATGCAAGCTAAGCAAGCACCCTACCACTGAGGCACATCCCCAGCTTCTTTCCTCCACTCCTGTGCCCCTCCTCAATTTTTATAATCATTTTATTACTTTGCCATTTTCCCCTTAATACTAATAATATATCTCTTTCTCACCTGCTAATACAAATAAGTAGTAAGAAGAAAAAGAATGGAAATTCTGAAATATGAAGATAAAAGGGAAGAGTGATATCCAAAGATAATGGGGCAACCCAGGCCCTCCACTTACCAAAGTCAGACACGTCCCCGGTTTTCGTGAGCTGCACATCATAGACACTGAGTGGAAAAATTTCTATCTCATCATAAACCTACAGAAAGTGGAAACAGCAGAATTAGAGGATTTGGTATTACGATACCTTAGAAAATTACTTCAATATTTTCATCATAATAAAAGAAAAAAAGAGCCAAGCACTGGTGGCTCATACCTTTAATTCTAGCTTCTCAGGAGGCTAAGACCTCAGGATCACAGTTTGAAACCAACCCAGGCAGAGAAGTCCACAGGACTCTCATCTCCAATTAACCACCATAAAACCAGAAGTGGAGGTGTGATTCAAGTGGTAGGGTGGCAATCTTGACTGAAAAAGCTAAGGAACAGTAGTAGCCAGGTTCTAAGTTTAAGCCCCGGTACTAGCACAAAAAGAAAATTAAAAAGAAAAGGAAAAAAAGAAGTGCTAGTAAGATACCCTTTTAGCCAAGGACTGTTTCCAAACCAGATGTCAAATTTGAAGTTTTCCCTCAAAATGCCAGTCCCGGAGCTTGAACTCAGAGCCTGCACACTGTCTCTGAGCTTCTGTACTCAAGGTTAGCTTTCTACTACCTAAGCCACAGATCCACTTCCAGATTTTTGGTGGTTAATTGGAGAGACGAGTCTCACAAACTTTCCTGCCTAGGCTGGCTTTGAACCATGATCCTCAGATCTCAGTCTCCTGTGTAGATAGAATTACAGGCATGAGCCGCTGATGCTCCATCTCAAAATTACATTTGTCAGAATGAAAAGTCCATGAATCTGGCTGGAATGACTGTCTGACCAAAGCCAGTGCCACTTGCCTGCTCTTGCATGTGCTCAGAGGGGGCAGGGGCATGCCACTCTCCACTCTCATCTGCTAGTCTTCGAAGTCGAAGGCCATAATGACTGGGTTCCAACTGTCTCATCTATAAGGAAAAGTCAGTTATTCATCACTACTCAGCAGGCTCACTGAAAATCAAAGTAGAAATCTCTAAAAAAGGAAAAAAAGGCTGCATATAAGTTTGCTGAGTTTAAAACTATGGAAGAGCTCAAAATTAAATGTGCCAGAAAGAATAAAAGGAACAAAGAATTATTTCTTAAGGTTTTCTCTAAATGATAGTGATTTTCCACAAAAGATTGACTTCTATGACATCAAGGCTGACAATATCTCATTGGATGTATCTTCACATCTTAGCTGTGCCATCTCTTTATGTACTGGGGTAGCTAACTTTAAAGTTGTTTCCTGTGACTGAAATAGAGAAATCTGAGGCTGGGAAGGTGGCTCACTGGTAGAGCGCTTGCCTTGCATGCATGAGGCCCTGGGTTCAATTCCTCAGCACCACATAAGCAAAAAGAAAAAAGCCGGAAGTGGCGCTGTGGCTCAAGTGGTAGAGTGCTAGCCTTGAGCTGAAGAGCTGAGGGACAGCACCCAGGCCCAGAGTTCAGGCCCCACGATTGGACCCCCCCCCAAAAAAAAGAGAAATCTGTAGTGTGAGCAATCTCAGGTGATAAAGACTTGAGAATTCTTAGTTCTCTGCTCCAAAAGCTTTTCAACAGGAAAAGGTATAAGTGTACACACACACACACACACACAGGTTCTCTTTCTCTCTCATCCATTTGCAATAGTGAGAAATTTATCTCAGCCTTTGCTCCAGTTGGAATTAATTGACCTGCTACATCTGACCCCTTTCAGAAAAGGTATCATTTCATTAGTTCATATTACTGATATAGAATAACACAGTGGTTTAAAAAAAAAAAAGTAACAACCACCCTCCATGCTTCAAAAGGCATCTGTGCTCATGAGGGCATAAACTGCAAACTAAATGCAAAGTGTACTAAAGCCTCAAGTCAAAGTGCAAAAGACTGAAATGAAGATTTTCCATTAAGTGTTGATGAGGCGGAGTTACCCAGCACTAAACGCCTTCTCCCACTACATTTATCTGAGTGTGCCTTCTTTGGAAACCTAAACATTGAAGCTCTCCCATGCCACCTGGTGGTCCACAGCTGCTGGTCTCTTCTTCCTGAGTGGATTTCCTTTCAGTGGGTTGTCTTTAAAATGTCTATACTTAGATTTCAGACTAGAAACAAAGACTAGTCACATCTATAATCCTCACTTGTCAGGAGGCTAAGATCTGAGAATTGTGGTTCAAAGCAAGCTCAGGCAGAAATATCCATGATATTCTTATCCAACTAATCAACAAAAAGCTGGAAATGGGGGTGTAGTTCATGTGACACAGTAGGCAGCCTTGAGTGAAAAAGCCAAGCAAGAGTTCCAAGACCTGAGTTCAAGTCTCAGTATTGGAACACACACACAAAATTTGAATAAAAGATCTGTCGGTCTCAATGGAGCAACTGAATCATATCAAGTTACACGTTTAATCTGGAAAAACCTATTAAGGCGATTTAGTGCTGCATCAAACCATTTCCTAGTTTATACCTCTTTTATAAAAAAAAATCAACTCGGGGCTGGGAAGGTGGCTCAGTGGTAGAGCGCTTGCCTTGCATGCCTGAGGCCCTGGGTTCGATTCCTCAGCACCACATAAGAAAAAAGAAAAAAGCCGGAAGTGGCGCTGTGGCTTAAGTGGTAGGGCACTAGCCTTGAGCTGAAGAGCTGAAGGACAGTGCTCAGGCCCAGAGTTCAAGCCGCACAACCAGACGAAAAAAAAAAAAAATCAACTCTACCTCAAACAGCAACAGGGCCATGATCATTCTAAAGGTAATTAAAAATTAAGAGGAATAATTCAAGCTCTTCAACCAAGGTAAGAGATCACTCTGTCTTCTAAATGAATGAAGGAACCCAATGCACATCAATTAATATCCAAATCAACACATATGCTAATATGTTCTCATGTGTGGAAAGACAGGTCTTACACAGCACATAAAATTAGAAAGCAAAGGAGGAGTACAATAAGTAACAATTGTTTCTATTCAGAAGTGTATTTCTGCAGCCAATCGCTTACCTTACATGCCAAAGTCAAAATGTCCTCCACCCTGTGCTCCGGCTTGATTGTGACAGTAACACCTTGATTGTCCTGAAAGTGAATGTAAGTCTGGATTTCCCACGAGTTGTCCCGCGGAGGCCCCTCTACTGCTGACCCACAGAGATGCCGAAATCCATCCACCTGGGTTCAGATGCCAGAAGAAAACACAGACAAGTCCAATAAACAAATGAAGGAAACTGGGAAAGATGTCCCCTCAACTTGTAGTAGTTAAGATGAGCCCTTTCCCTCTCTTCATGCCACCAGCTTCACACACACACACACACACACACACACGCGCGCGCGCGCGCGCGCGCGCGCGCGGAGCTGAAGCCCAGGGCGGGACATGTGGTCAGCTGACACATCCCACCATGCCAAGGCACCGCTTATACTAAGTCAGAGTCCACAGTCCACAGAGGGATACTTGGTGACCAGTTTTACTGTGGCTCAGAAGGGAAGTTGCACCTATTCTGCAATCCTTTCCCAGCTTCCTAATACAAGCTGTTCTTTCCTGTTGTTTGTTGTTGCTCTTGTTGTACCAGTATCAGAGCTTGAGTTCCAGGCCTCATGCTCTCACTTGGCTTTCTTGCTTTCACCTGGCAATCTACCACTAGGGTCATGCTTCCAGTCCAGAAGTTTGCTGATTAATTGGAGATAGAGTTCGGCAGACTTTTCTGCCCAGGCTGTCCTCTAACTGTGATCCTCAGATCTCAGCCTCCTGAGTAACTATGATTATAGCCACTAGCACCTGGCTTCCCAACACATTCTTATCCACAGCCTCTGACCTCTGTCTGCATCCTCATCCTGATCATCACCTCACTCCAAGCACAACTGTCATTTCCCCTACTTCACTTTGTTTTTAAAGACCTCACTCCTAGTCCGGGGGAGAAAGTTTTTCTCTGCTTTTGAGCTATTTCACTGTAGTCACTCTGTGAGGCCATCATCTCGAAACATACTTCCTTCAGGGACCAAAATAACTTAGTTCTCGAAATCCCGTACCCATGCAATGGATAGACGGCACTTTATGCGTAGATACTCTAGAGTTTATAGACAAAAAATTAACATTTATTATGGAACTCAGAAAGGTTTTCCTCTGGCAAGGTCCTTCCCTTAGCATAGTGGTAAATAAAAGACGGGGACTTGAAGTCAGAGTCACAGCCCCTGCCTCTGAGCCAGGAAAGAGTGGCCTAGAACCACACATTTGCCTTGTTACACCTCAGCTCCTACCCTGTGAAAGAGGGCATAACTACTGTAATGACTTGAGTTTATTAATTAATGATACAAGCTTTTGTGCACAAAGAAGGCTAAACATGTGAAAGTGTCTTATACCCCAGAAACTAACACTCAGATCTGACACTTACCTTGTGTGTGACCCGCAGGCTCACACCTCACAGCTATTCCTGATGGGTGCTTTCACTTTTAATTCCTCTACAGAACTTAAAACTCAAGAGAGAATACAGTAAAGGAATTCCAAAGACCAGTATGGGGCCAAGAAGGGAAGAATCCACCTTTCTGTGTCATCCTTTTGGAAACATGGCACTCCACACTGACATGACACTTCTGGACCTGTCATGGATCTGTCACTGTCAACACATTTTCCTGGAAGGATGATTACAGCAAGGATTCCCCCTTCCCATGCCATGGAAAAAGAGACAAAGGAGCAGATGCCAGGAGCCAAGGATCTCAGGAGCTAGCCTGGCCCCCGCTCCCTCCAGAAGGGGTCCTGTCTCACATGAACCACATGCATTATCTAGCTCATTCTTCCACACAATGCTTTCGTGTGGATGGTGCCTTTAACCAGGTATGCAGATACATAAACTTAAGAGTTAGGCCTAGGAATGGATGGAGCTAGAAGGAATCATGTTGAGCGAGGTAAGCCAAGAGCGAAGAGACAAACAGTACATGGTCTCCCTGATAAGTGGATGCTAAATCCAAAATTTTAGGTGATACAACAAAATTAATAGGACTTAAGAAACAAAGAACTCCCACTCATCTGGTCGAATCACTACTAAATATCCCCATGCTGCTGATCACATGTACGGTGTATATGTGTACACCGTTATATGTTATAGACTGTGATAGACAATTTGCTCCAGGAAAGTTAGAATGAACTTGTGACTTTAAATGAGCATCATTATTCCACAATACTGTGAAATTTGGGAAATTATGTAATCACTTAATCACAATTTAAAAAAAAAAAGAACCTCGGGGAAGGTAGGGAGGGAAGGGATGGTAGGGGGAAAACAATGGAGGGGGTAACAATGCTCAATAGGAAGCGTACTCATTACCTTGCTCATGTAACTGTAGCCCTCTGTATAGTATCTTTACAATAAAAAATTAAAAAAAAAAAAAGTTAGGCCTAGGCCCCAATGTGTGTTGAGAATCACAGAGTCCAGCAGAGGTCACTGTGGAGTAGGAAACCAGACAAAGTATCTGCAACTTCATTCTATACTTTGGGACCTGAGGATGGACAGGCGGACAACTGACAAGAGCAATTCTTAGCTGCCCCTTCTTCCCGCCTCTTTCGTCCGTCCCTCATCAGCTGGCACCAAATAAAACACACTTAAAATATTCTCAAGCAAGCAGCATCATGACGCCCTGCTTAACAGGTGAGAAAAAGAAGCTGTTGAAAATCCTAGAAACTTTTATAAGCTCACACAAGTGAGCCGCGGGTATGAGCCCATGTTCACCAGTAATATCATTCAAGGCAGAAATGTCCATCTGGCAGTTACTCCCCACAAAATGGACAACTGATAGTCTCCAAGCTTTTCCATTATTCTAGCACACACGCCATATTCTAACCTAGTGGGAGAAAATGGCTCCCCTTAAGGGAGGGGTGGATTTCTGTGCCTATATCACTGTCCTCTGCCTGCCTCACTTGCCTCCCAGCTCCAAACCGGGAAATCCTGTGCATCCTTCAACCCTTATTCTAAGAAAGCATCGAGAAAGTGGAGTTAGGTCAAGCACACCTGTAATACAAGATTTCCTATAATCCAAAAAGAGATGGGCGGATCAGCGTTTGTGACCAGCCCAAGGAAAAAGCTGAAGGCTTCTGTCTAAAAGCAAAAGGACTGGAAGTATAGCTCAAACAAACAGCATTTACTGAGTTCAGTTCCTAGTATCAAATAATAATAATAATGTGTGTAATGATAATGTTTGTGTATTTAATGAAATAGAATCAGAAAGAAAAATCTATTTGTTGCTTGGAGGTCTTCTTGCTCGTTTTCTATAAGCCATGTCTCTTTGGAGGGAAAGCTAGATTCTCGCCAGAAGGTTCAATGTTATCCAAACTGAAAACACTCAGGCTTTGTCCACAGTAGGCTATGTAGACTATTCCCTTACCTTTTCTCCAAAAAGGAGCAGAGAATCTTGAAAATAAACACACACACAAAGGGCCATATGGAAAATTCTTTCTTTAGCATTCCCATTACATAGGCTCTATGTTAAACTTGTCTTTATCAATATCATGTCCAGTATTCCATGACTCCGCACTGCAGTCCCACCTCCCTGCCCTTGCAAAAAAAGTTTCCAATTGTCTGCTCAAGATTTCCAGTTCCAGGACAACACAAGGGGAGGTGAAAGACAACCTTGCTAAGTAAGATAGGTAAGAGCATTTGAAAGACTCTGAAGTAGCCTGGAATGGTGGCCCTGCACCTTGACAATAGACACACCATCATAAGGTCCAGCACCTTGGGGTCCACTGGGGGCTGCTGCCAGACCTTCTTACAGACCATTTAAGAAACAGGAGCACGAATGATCTGTAGCCACAACTCACTAACTGGTTAACATCTGCTGATCACACCAGCTCCCCTTGCAGGGCGACTTCTACAGAAGCATTTATTATTATTATTAAATTAATGGTCCTAACATCACACATCAAATTATTTCTGCTCAGTATGCTGCACAGAGAGAAAATGGAAACTCTGTGCCTTTCTCACAGCAGATGCTTTTGGATCCAATGGCTTGTAATTACTACTTGGCTCCCGGAAGGGAAGTGGGGAGCGAAATCACAATCTGGCTGTCACAAATGGGCACGCGCCACCACAGTTGCTGATGGAGAAAGCCTATTAGCAAGTGAGATGAGGAGAAGACACAAAAGGAGTTAATCTGCTCTTGGTTTGCTTCTCAGTCAAATGTCAGAGAGGAGAGTGTTTACTTCCTCCTTGGACTAAAGCTCAAACATTAGTTGATATTAAAGAAGACAAAGACCTTGCTAGCCAGCTGTGTGTCGTGCATATATTCATACATGTACTGTATGTGTGTGTATATGTGCATATGTGTGTGCTCGCACGCGTGCATGAGCCATAGAGAGATCCAGACTACCCTTCTATTTTTAGCAGACATGTTGGGGGTCAAGAAACATTTGCTTCATTCACATTTTCCATGTGAGGAACCAATATTAAGATTTTTTTCCCAGCTTGGAACTAATAACTAACACAACAATATTTCATTCAGCCACTGCCACAGAAAATCAGACACTCCAGCCAGTGTTCCAGGAGCAAGGGCCAAGGCTAGGGGCAGCCTGGAGGTCTACTGAGGTGTTCTGGGGCACAGCCATCCCAGCTCAGTGGGGGATTTGTTGTCAAAATCTCCATAACAAATACCTCCTGCCAAACACTGTCAGAGACTCATTATTACTCATGGAAGAGGAGGCTGAGAAAAGCTTTCATTTGTGGCCAGCCAAGGTGTCCTTCAAAGAAGGCTCAAATAGACTGGCTCTATTCCAGCCTCAACAGATTCTGAATTACGAGTGACTCACTGCTGCACTGTTATACTATGCACCAATTAGAGTGGAATATTTAAAAACACACAGCTCCTCCCTCACAACCACCTCTCTGTGTGGCTTGAATGGACCTAATGTACTTACTGTGTAAAAATAGATGGTTTGGGTGAGCTGTACATATTCTCCAAGAGTGATCACCAGAAGGAAACAAGTGAAATGTAGGATTGATTATCCAAACAGCTACAGGCAGAATTTTTTTTTGGGGGGGTTCGGTCTTGGGGTCTGAACTCTGGGCCTGGGCATTGTCCCTCAGCTCTTCAGCTCAAGGCTAGCATTCTACCACTTGAGCCATAGCGCCACTTCCGGCTTTTTTCATTTTGCTTATGTGGTGCTGAGGAATCGAACCCAGGGCCTCAGGCATGCAAGGCAAGTGCTCTACCACTGAGCCACCTTCCCAGCCCCTACAGGCAGAATTTTAAGTGCCTAAGATATGAAGCCAAATTATCCCCTTGTTGCTACCTGCATTTCAATTTGACCTTTGTTAGATATCTGAGTCTTGTGGCAGGATAGACAAAAACAAACCAAAAAGATAAAACAAACCAAAGCAATGTCTTCCCCTCCCTGTATCAGCTTGCAATGTGATAGTGCTTAGATGTGTTTTAAAAAACTGACAGACTGAAAGATTTCTCTCACCCTGTTGTTGCATTGGTTCGGTTTCTTGATTCCTCTACAAAAGAATGTGTCAACTAGATCCCAATATAAATAAATACCAAATTTCTTACCACCAATGACTATTTTAGTAAAATCTATTGTCAAAGTAAACCAAGAGTTCAGTTCATAGGAAATGCTTTGATGATGTCATTTAACTTTTAAAGTAATAATAGTAAATTGTTTTATAATGCTGCATGAGTTATAATCCTAAAATGCTGGGTTTTCTAAATCATAAATAAGCTATTTCTTTTGAACCTTGAAAAGACTGAACTATGAAAAGAACAATGCAATGATCAAGATGCATTGTTCTCATAAGCTGACTTCTAGAACTGAAACCTCTTTGTACAACCACTTAACAACAAATAACCAGAGCAACATACACTGAAAAAAAAAAAAGACTACATCTAAGATAAGCAATCCTTGGCAGTGTGCTACAGATTTAGAACATATACATAAACACCAGATATACAAAACCTACACACAACAAGGGTCCTAGTGGTAAGATTTCCTGGGAAAAACAAAACAGACTCTTGCAGGATGGCTAACCAGAGAAGGGAGGGGATAATAACAACTAAACAAATGATGATGACCTGTTAACCACACAAGGGAGGCAAGTTCCTGGAGAAAGGAATGATTTGATTCAGATCTGAATAGGCTCTGCCAGTTTACAGATATAAAGGTGAAAGAAAGGAAATTCAATCACCATGAGAAGTCTGTCAGCTTGATGGTATGATTTATAGAAAGGAAGGTTTGTACCTGGCTTCCTTGCTCCCCTTTGTTGGTCAAACTGAACAAAAGGAGATCACAAACAGAGCAGCTTCCTGGAATAAGCCACTGCACCACATCCCGTGCCCGTGGCAGCCCTGATGCCTGGGGATAGGAGCTGAGGTGATGGGAAACATAGTCTGGAAATTTCTTTCCCATTCTGCATCTTCTACAGGAAGCAGGAGGCTTCTAGCTGAGCTGCCACCAGGAGGCAGGTCCAGTGACAGCATACTGAGCAGCCTGGACCAGCCTCATGATCACGCTTGTGGTGTTGTCTTCTTTGGGGATCTTAGCATTGCCAGAAAGTTCCTTTCTTCTTCTCTCCTTCTTTCCCTTCCCTACCTCTGGACATCCCACTTTTCTTGTTAGTTCAAACTAAACTCCCTTTTTGTTGAATTATTCCCATTCATTTATTAAAGAATATTACCAAAAAAGAATATTACCAGATTCTACAAATGATCTTTTCCCAACTTCAACAAGTAGCTTGTGAGGTTTAAAACTTTAGACAAAAACAATTTGGTGGGGGAAGAGTCAGAAAAATGGATCAGCAACATGGAATTCTGCCTTGGGGAGAAAGGGGGACGGCAAAGCTACTAAGAGGAGACATAAACACATCCAAACAAGCTCCAACCGACTTCTAAATTTCCTTCTGATATCGTCCTGAGGACCCTTCAAGTCAAAAGCAATCCTGGAGACTAGCAAGGGACACAACTCGGATCCACGGAGGAAACCTCAGGAGAGAAAGGTTTCTGATGTTTTTAGTATGGGTATGAAAACTTAAGCTGCAATTCACTAAACTTCAGGTGAGGGTTAAGTACTGCTGGAGCATAGAGAAGAATAGCATATAGTATATAAGAAATGATATTATGGCTTTAGTTATATCTCTGTTGCTGCAAGTATAGATGATATGCCCAACAATAATGAGCATTCAGAGGTCATCTCTTAGCTAATCTAATAGAGACCACTTTACATCTAAATTTATCTGCAATGAATTCATGTACTGATTCTGAACCAGCATTTCCTGCTTAACAACATGTGTGTCACATCAGAGTTCAAACAAGGTGTCTGCTGACTCCCACATTTACCTCACAGGAGTTGCCAGAGCCCTGAGGTAGCTGAGTTCCAGAAAATCCATGGCTGCCACTTGAATCAAATATCTGACAAAGAAGGAGGAAAAGAAAGATTCGTGACATGTTTCTACAATATTCATCGAGCATCCACCTCTTTTGATATTTAAAAATTGGAGCTGTGCAATATTTTATCACTTTTACTAGAATTCTAACACAATTAAAATTTAACTTTGGAGAAAAAAATTTCTTTCTCACCTCCCAGAGAGTTACATATTTTACTTCACTTTCTATAATGTTACATATTATTCACATCATCCTCATGTTCTTGATGAGGCTTTTAACCAAGTACACATTTCTGAAGATGTAGAACAGAGCTCAGAGTTGGCAAAGCCACCAAACCCAGCTTACAACTTAAAAAAAAAAAATGCATAGGATAAACCTTGAAAGAAAACATGGTAAAAGTGGTTGTGTCTAGAGGGAAAAACCAGGAATCATTTCTTCTACTTTTTCAAATTTTATCTCCTTAATTCTGCAGAATATTACCATTAAAGATCATTTAAACATTTAGGAATGTTTAATTACTAAATCAGCTCTACTCAGTTATATGAATATCAACACTGGAATTGGTTTCCAATCTTTTTCAAACAAAAACTGTTCAACCAAATGGTTTTTGTTTATAAAGAAATCTTTTGTTGAGAACATTTAACACATGTGCTGGGATAAAGACAGTATTAGGCTCATATGTAATTAGCTAAATGTTCTATCTAAGAAAAATAACCAAGTTATCAAGTTATTTATCAAGTTATCATCATTTAATTGCATAGTATTATCTTGATTAAAATCAGAATTGGCTTTAACGATATTAATTAAACATCATAGAAATTCAATCCAGATAGCACAGGCTCAGCATTTGCCAACAGCTGACAGAGACAATCTATAATGGAACTATTTCCATTTATAAGCAATAAATATATACTCTTTTCAAGTAAAACACAAGTTGAACTATAGTTTTTAAATGTGATGTTATTTCAATTAAAAAATAAACAAAGGTCATATAAAAGAAGTTCTGTTATGTTTTGCTGTCTATGAGTCACTCTCCCAACTTCATTGTTTCACATTTGAAACAGGTCAAAGTTCACATTAGCTCTCTCAGTGACCTAATTCATAAAAGTACTGTACAGAATTTAAAAGTTGTATAACATGAGGAAATAAAATTCCATAAGCATGACCCTTTCTCTCAGATGACAGTAAAGCAATCAGAATAACACTGATTCCCTGAAAATAAAAACAAAAACTTCTTCAGAATTAATTGCAACCATGTTTCCATCCACTTATATATGATCATCATATAACTCATCTTTTCACCAGTCTTTGAAAAAGCAATGTATCAACCAGCAGTGTAGAATCCATTAACATCTGCTATATTATAGACACTGTGAAACGTTTTAGATCTATATATTCAAGGCACTCTGGAAATAATTTACTGTACTTGGGCCATATTTCAGCAATAAATCTTCAGGCCATTTGTTTTTCTTGATAAGGTATTTTTAAAAAGCTATCTCTCCTTATGGGAAAATAAAAATCAGCAATTGCTTACTGGCTTTGACTCAGGCAAGAAAGAGTTGAGCCTGGCCCAAGGATTCTAGAAGAAAAGTAGTTAACAGACTCTCCATTGTCTGTCTTATCACCCATAAAGGTAGGTAAGTGATACAACCTCCCTATCAGGTGTCTTATCATCTATACCATAAGGTAAGTAACAAGGTCAAGTATCTGTCTTCCCACCTCCACTAAGTAAGGGATGTACTTAACTTTCCAAAGTTTCTGTCTTCCCATCTATAAAATGGGCTGACAAAATGCCTATGTAATACTATAAGGTTTGAGCAAGCAACGAATCTAGTGCTGTTGATAGAATTTAGCCGCACTGCTTCACATTAATCTAATACATTTAATTTTCTACATATTTAATATAAAACTTATAGGTAAATACTGCTACTAACGGCAATGAAAAATGTAGATTTTTTTTTTCTGGTACCAGGCTTGAACTCAGTGCTTCACGCTTCTCCTAGGCTTTCTTGTTGATGGCTGCGGCTCTACCACTCCAGTCCAGCAGGAGATAGGAATTTCAAGGACTTTGTTTCATGACCTGGCTTTATATCACCATCCTCAGATCTCAAGATTATGGGTATGAACCATTAGCACCAAGCTGATAATTCTTAGCTCTGGTGTTCCTAGTGTGCCTGCCTCTTTAGGAATACCAAAGTAAGACTGTACAATTTACGTATTTCAGTTGGGGTCAAAAGTCTGTGCTAAGACTAGATGCTTGGAACCAATACTTTTGCCCCTGTGAAACACCTATAAATGAACACCTATGGTTGGAGGTCAGCCCACAGCAGGGTTTCGGGAATGTTCCTCCAGGCTGCTGTTCCTCTGACATTTATAACTCACCTGAGTTATGGAAGCCCTCTTCTCCTTTCCTTTTCTTGCCAGCGTGTCTAGCCCTTTCAGTGAAGAAAATATGCCCTTCTTACTCCTCCCTCGTTGGGTCAGTGAGAGAGTTCTTTTCCGAAAAGCAGAGCCATCTCTAGAACATACCTAATTGAAAAAGAAATCGTAAAATATGTTTAAGTATCTCTGGGTAACAGGAAGAACAGTTGTGTAACAGGAGTAAGCGTTGCTTGCTATCGATGTATTTTGACCAGTGACAAAGACTGCTGACATCTCAGAAGTGTAGCCAGTGTACAGAGTTTTTTATCTAGCTAGCATGAGACAAGTTACAGTGTTCAACAAGGAGTCAGCAAAGCAATCCATGGGCCTCTAGGTGTCAGTTCAATACAAAATCCAGGAATGATCTGTGAAAACCCAACAGGCTCTGCAGGATGTGTGTGTGTGTGTGTGTGAGAGAGAGAGAGAGGGAGGGAGGAAGGGAGAGAGAGAGGAAGAGAGAGACAGGGAGAGGGAGAGGGAGAGAGAGGGGGAGAGAGAGAGAGAGAGAGAGAAAGGTGTGTGTGTGTGTGTGGAGGGGGAGAGAGAGAGAAAGGGGTGTGTGTGTGTGTGTGTGTGTACTGGGTCTTGAGCCCGGGATCTGGCCTGGCACTGTCCCTTAGCTTTTTTTCACTAAAGGCTGACATTCTACTACTTGAGCCATAGCTTCACTTCTGCGTTTTTGCTGGTTAATTAGAATAAAATCTCAAAGAGTTTCCTGCCTGTGCTAGCTTTCAAACCATGATCATCAGATCTCATCTTCTTGAGTAGCATGAGCCAGTGACACGTGGTAGCCTGGTAGCCTGGTAATCTCTTTGTTCTTTTCACTATAGTTGCTGCTCCCCAGAGAGCCCACCTTCCCCAGCGCAGGGGAGGGGCAGGCAGGAAGGTCAGTGCAGATAGGAATATGTACTGAACTACCCATTGGCAGCAATGGAGACACCAGGGACTGTATTCTCCTCCCCTCTGTCTCCAGTCCCAGACTCTGGGTGACACTGATCAATCATTAGGCCCAGTTTCTGCACAGCTAGTGGAAACAGCTGGCGAAAGGTGTTCAATAGACAGATCACCCTAGAATGCCTGACTGGACCCTCTTCAAGAACTTACCAGAGCATGGAATGAGGAAACAGACAGGACGCCCAGCCTGCCAAGGGCCAGCTTGGATGGACGGCTGGCGGCAGCAAGGAGACTCTTAGGGTTTGGTAACTCCCCGCCTTGCAAGCTGGCCAGGTAGCAACGCATCCTGAACAGATCCATATGAAACTTCTCCAGATTCTGTTCCCACTGCTGGATCTGAAACAGCAAAATCATATGTGACTTAGATAAAAGATACATGGCTACGTGGGTCACAGAGAAAATTGAATGCCTTCCACAAGCATCAGGAAGAAACTTGGATGCTTTACACCAGCCTTCTCTATTCACTCCTACCTCAAGCCCATATAACAGAATGCACAGGTCTCAGTGTTATACTTCATACAACAGATAGAAATAGAAGGCAGCTAGTGCTCCCAACATGGGGGCAGGCCAAAGCCATGTGATCTATAGAGAAGTCAGCCATGCTGACTTACAACAGGATACAAACTGAAATTGTTTTTTTCTTTCAGGTACTCTGTTTCATCTCCCTTCTCATTTATAGCTTCTCATCCCAAACTGGATTAAGTGAACTTCACACAAACAGATATGAGTGCATGAAGTCACAGGCTCTATGTTCCAGTCATTCTGGGTGACTCAAAACAATAAGAAGCATGACTGGTGCTAGTGGTCATCCCTATAATTCCAGCTACTCTAGAGGTTGAGATCTGGAGCATACTAGTTTGAAGACAAAGCATAAAGAAAAGACTGCTAGACTCCATCTCCAAACTAATAAAAAGCTGAGCTGGAGGTATGACTCAAGTTGTACAGTACCAGCTAAGCAAGCTAGTCAAGCTAACACAAGATCCTAAGTTCAAACCCTGGTAACACACACACACACACACACACACACACAAATAGATGAGTACAGACTATATGATACCTGCTACTAAGGAAGCAGAAGTACAATAATCAAAATTCAAGGCCAGCCATGCAATAAATAATGAAGATCTGTCTATGAATTAACTAATGAAAAAGGCTGAGAACCGGGTGCTCATACCTGTAATCCTACCTACTCCTAGCTAATCCACGGTTGTGATCTGAGGATTGAGGTTCAAAGCCAGACTGAGCCGAAGTCCATGAAACTCTTATCTCCAGTTAACCAGCAAAAAGTCAGAGTGGAGCTATGGCTCAATTGGTAGAACACCAGTCTTGGGTAAAAAAAGATAAAAGACAGTGCCCAGGCCCTGTGTATAAGCCCCATTACCAGCACAAATAGAAAGGAGGGGAGGAGAAGGGACAGAAGGAAAAAGAGGGGAGGGACAAAAGGAAAAGGAACTGGAGTTCCTTAGATTAAGAGTGAGGTTCCAAGTTCAATTCCCAGTACAAAAATAAATAAAACAACAAATAGACTTTATGATGACAAATAGAGATTTTACTGAAGTGTCATACAGAATATCAACCACCTGAACATTTGAAAAAAATCAATATAACTGAAATTCCTACACATTTCTTTAGGAGTCATGAGTTGGTAAACACATATACAATGCATATGAACTCTCAGTCAAACCCAGGGCCACTCTCCTTTCTTCCAAGGTGTCACAACCACAGTGGGCTACAGACAAGTCTGTCCTCCATTCACAGGCCTGTTTGTGGGTGAAGAAAGGCCAGAGGCCTGCCAATCCAAGCCTTGGGAGCAGGGCTCAAAGCTGGGCTTCCACAGGTCCTCCTGGCCCAAGTGGGAGGAAGGCATGCAGTAAGAGTTGAGCTCAGGTGTCCACATGAGAGCAACATCGTTTCCCTGGCAGCGGGTGCCTAGGTTGTTTAGTGCCCAAACAGAGCCTCACCCTCCAGAACAAACTTGCAGTGAATTCTACATTGTACAGTGAAGAGATGTTTTTAAATTTTAATTGAATGGAAAATTCAACAGATAAGTGACCTTTTATTCCAATAATGGGTTTATCCTAATTTTATTTTTTCTACTTGGTTGGGCCACCAGGTACTCAAGTCATCGGTCAAATGTTATTCTGGAGATATTTTGGATGATACTAACATTTAAATGGGTAGATTAAAAAAATCAAATTGCACTCCCCAATTTGGAGGGCCTCATTTAATCAGTTGAAAAACATTTGCTCTTTCTGGGTTGTGAGCCTGCAAACCTTCAATCTAGGAATACACCCTCAGCTCTCCTAAGGTCCAACTTGCTGACCTATTCTGAAGATGTTGAGGTTTTCTCATATCTTCATAATTGCCAATTACAGACACAGATTCACACATACACAACACACTTGAACACACACACTTACATGCACATATTCTATTGATTCTGCATGTGGAGACCCTTGAACTAAATACAGCTTTTGTTTTTTGAATCTCTGTGGCAGGACAAGCTACCATTAGCCACATAACCCTTCCACCTTTATAAACAGTATGTATCCTGTGTTCTTTATAGAGAGAGTCAGTCATAGAACTTAGGTGAGGATGTGGGTTGGATAAAAAATTATCAAGTATTTGATTCCCTTGCCACATAGTTACTGAAACTGTGGAAGGGATATAAGAGATTGTCAGAGAATATGGGTTGCTCAGCTTGAGCAGACGAGAAAATATATTGGTTATAAATCTGAATGGGCCTGATCTGAAAGAAAACACAACAGAAAAAATGGATTAAACCCTAGCTATCTGTTCTAACCTCCAGTCTACTTTAGCAAACTTTGTATCACTCATGGGTTCTTCCTTGAAGATAGGGTTTAAAGTTTGGAAAGTATGAAATGGGCAGGGTTTTGTTTGTTTCTGTTTTTTTTTTAGCTAATTCCACCAACAAGGAAAAGCATTCTCTTTTAAGTCAAATGCTACAATTAAGTAAGTAAATGGTAGGAGCTATTTTTCTGAGAGTGCTGGGTATAGCAGGAATGTGCTGGTCATCTTTTTAAATGTGACACTAAATCCATTCAACTCATTTGTTATTTTTATCACTAGCCTTCATCTCTCCCTTCCCACTTTTCTACAGCTGCAACCTCTCGAGCTCATTAACTAAATATGACAACAAAGAGGAAACGACTACATTGAGCTTTTGGTAAGCTTTGGAGTTTTCCCTGTCATTTTGCCGGTGGTGGCATTTCCTTTTGCGATGGGAAGTTCAGTGGCACGGGTTTCTCTTGCTCAGATCATTTGCCATGTTTTGTGTCTGGATGCTGAAAGCGAGGAAAGCTCCCCCTTCAAAGTTGAGCTATTAATTCCATGTCTTGATATTTATGTTCACAAATGAATGTCTAGGTCCAGGCACTCGTAGCTTATGCCTGCAATCCTAGCTACTCAGGGCGCTGAGAAACCAAGAACCATGAGGGTAGAGGTGGGTCCCAGGTAGAGCAGGGCGAGAGGGGGGCCTAGAAGCCTGTCTCCACCCCATCCACTAGTTGAGTCAGTGTTCAGGCCCTCCTCCCCCAGGAAGTCTTCCATGACTACCTGTGAGGTAAAAAAATCTCCCCTTTCTTTTTTCTCAGCACATGTAAACTTCACTGTTTTGAATACATTCCATTACAGTGAGGCCAAAGGCTCCGCTCTCCATGGCCCTCCTGGGCCAGGTGCACCTTGAGGGCAGAGACACAGGTGCCAGAAACGCACACTGAACTACACTGCACCTTGTTCTTTTGTCCCCAGGTGCCTCTACCTTCTTCTTCCTGCTTACTCAGTAAAGCCTGCACCCAGCACCTTGTTAAAACTGGCCTGTCCCTGCAAATCACCCTTACCACTGCTGTCCTCTCCAGGGTCTTCCTGTCACCCCCTCATCCCCAGGTGTACACCATGCCAGAGTTCCCACAAAGCTCTGTTCTCTGTGCTCGCCTCAACACAGCTTCCCACTGGAAGGAAATTCAATCTACCCCCTACCATTTAAAACTGAAGCCAAGGGCTGGGAAGGTGGCTCAGTAGTAGAGTGCTTGCCTTGCATGCCCTGGGTTTGATTCCACTGCACCACATAAGCAGAAAAAGCCAGAAGTGGTACCATAGCTCAAGTGGTAGAATGCTAGCTTTGAGCTGAAGAGCTGAGGGGCAGCTCACAGGCCCAGAGTTCAGGCCCCATGACTGACAAAGCAAGAAAGCAAGAAAGAAGGGAGGGAGGGAGGGAAAGAGAGAGAGAGAGAGAGAGAGGAAGGAAGGAAGAAGAAAGAAAGAAAGAAAGAAAGAAAGAAAGAAAGAAAGAAAGAAAGAAAGAAAGAAAGAAAGAAAGAAAGAAACTGAAGCCTATAACCCAAACATTGGTGGCTCATGCCTGTAATCTTAGCTACTCATGAAGCCAAGATCTGAGAATCACAGTTCAAAGCCAGCCCAGGCAGATAAATCAGAGAGACTTATCTCCCATTAGTCAGCAAAGAGCTAGAAGTGGAGGTATGGTTCAAATGTAGAATACCAGCTGTGAGCAAAAATGCCAAGCAAAAATGTAAGGACCTGAGTTCAAGTCTCAATATAGGCAAAAGAAAAAAAGACAAAGGAAACAAAGCCCACATTTTGCAAAACCCAAAGGCCTGAGCAGAGCATTTTCCCCCTCCGCTGTAGCACCCCAGCGATCTAACTACCCCACCCTGTAGCCTCTCCCTCCACCCCCCAGCAGGAAGCGGCCTGCTCCCCTAGAAAGGCACTTAATGAGACAGGCTGGGGAGACATGTGGCAGGACTCCAACACTGCCTGGGGGTGATGAGGTTTTTGGCCTTGTTTACTTGTTTGAAATAATAAATGGAAAGGAAAATAAAGTACTAACTGGCCTTAATTTACAGCGCTTCCTCCCTCACAACTTCAAAGGCACACTCGCCATGTGGCCGAAAGGCCTGGTCTGAACCACATCGGATACGCTCAGAGCAAAGTTGCATCACCCAGCTCCATGCAACAGCAGAGGCCTGAGGAAAGGGTAAGGGGGGTTATTTTAAGCAGAGCATGTGACCTCGTGACAATATGAAACACAGCCGTTATGATGAGGGTGGTGCCTTCTTATTAAGGAAGGGCCCTGACCATGAGTTTCTCTACCCACGAACTTCAAAGAAAACTTGTTGCAGAGACTTTATCTTGCATAACACAATCTACACTGCCTTCTGCAATTATGAGCACAAATTATAACTGGATCAGAGGCTGCCAGGGTCTCCAAGGGAAGAGTAGAGATATTTATATGGTGAGTAGACAGAGCCCTGGTCTTCTATGAAGTTTAAAACACAGTTGAGAGGAAACTACATGGATGGGATGGGTGGGGACCATGGCCTAAATTGGTCTTGCAAAAGCTTGGCCTTTGTAGCATCACATTCTGCTTTCTAGACAAAGATCTTTTTTTTTTTGGGGGGGGGGGCCCGGTCGGGGGGCCTGAACTCTGGGCCTGGGCGCTGTCCCTCAGCTCTTCAGCTCAAGGCTAGTGCTCTACCACTTGAGCCACAGCGCTACTTCCGGCCTTTTTCTTTTTGCTTATGTGGTGCTGAGGAATCGAACCCAGGGCCTCAGGCATGCAAGGCAAGCGCTCTACCACTGAGCCACCTTCCCAGCCCACTAGACAAAGATCTTCTAAAAACAATCCCAATGTGTGCAACCCCCTGTACATTTCTCAGGCTTCATATCTGCAAGTGAGGAGCGAAGAGCTCTTTCCTGAAGCCTCTCTGAACTCCTGGAAGTTGGGGACAGTGAGTTCTGTTTTTCAATGTTTTTAAAACTGTAGGTAATTCCCATTACCCATTGCAAAACCCTTTGAGAAAAATATAACTACATTATTGCCTTAAAAATTTGCCCTTACAGTGAGGGCATTTTCAGATAGAATTTCTGAAGATCATCCAAAGAGAAGGTGTGCACAGGATGGGGAAATGGAGAAAGGAAAGGTAGCAAGGAGAAGAGACAAGTGGGTAAGGGCCAGGAAATGGGGAAGGGGAGACATGAAATGAAAACCTGGTTGTTCTTAGAAGATATGCATAAAGTAATTGATGTAATGAGCCCATCAAAGAACCTATGGTGGACCACAAGTACTCATCACCCAAACTCTTTGTAAGAGCAGAGGCTCTCCAGCCCTCTCAGCCATATCCTGGCCCTCCACCCCACAATCACAGTGACATCAGCTAGTAGTTACAAGCCACAGACAGAAAATATGAAATTATATTTAATGAAAATTTAAAATGTTTTTTTTTTAAAAAAAGCCTTTGCTTAGATTTCTTGTGGCCATAAGGAAGCCCGACATACTTTAAAGGACACAAGAGACAGTCTAGGACTCTCTCAATGTTGCCCAGTTTTCCTTATCATTCCCTGAACCTAAATATTTGACTAAGTAAAAGGACCTGAAAACTCCAAACTGGGCATCTTTTCCAGAAGTCTAAACAATGGCTCCCAAGTCAAGCTTAAGAGAGCTAAGATAAGCTACAAGCCTACTTTCCCCATCACACGCCATCACTGATAGGAACTGCTTTGACTGGCTAATCCCAGGAAACAAGGACCAGGGCCCCTGCCATGATACAGAGAAACTCTGAAATTAAAAGGCTGCTTTATCTCCTCCAAAATGCAAGTAGCACAAGAACTACCTCTCACACGTATGTGGACATGTTTCAATTAAAAGATTCTCTGCTGTTCTTTGAATAACTCTGTTACACCAAACCGAGCACTCACTTCGAAATCATCTTTTAGAGTAGAATCTTACGCATGTAATCTTTCAGTAGTTTTATGTTTATAAGTGATGGCATATGAGAGATAAGAAGGTACCACTGACTATAGGAAAATAATAAAGATTTGTTCATAAAATATTATAATATATAGATTAAGCACTTCTAATTCAAAAAATAAGAAAGGGAGTAAAAATCCAATTGCTTTTGTTTGTATCTGAGGACCAAATTTCACTACATGGCCCAAGCTGACCTTCAACTGATGATATTCCTATGTCAGCATCTTGAGTGCTGGGATTATAGGTATGTATCACCATGCACAACTTCAAAATGTATATAAGTGCCAATCTGACACAAGTGAAACATTCCATAGTATTGTTTCATAAAAATGCTTCATGCACAAAACCACTAAAAATACTACAACATGACATACTAGATATACATATATGATATACATGAATCAAAAGTAAATTTTGTTCAGATGTGGAGGCCTTTTTTTTTTTTTTTGTCAGTCCTCGGGCTTGAACTCAGGGCCTGAGTAATGTCCCTGAGCTTTTGTGCTCACAAGCACTCTCACTCCTTGAGCCACAGCTCTACTTCCGACTTTTGGGTGATTCACTGGAGATAAGAGTCTCCCAGACTTTCCTGTCTGGGACAGTTTGAATCACAATCTCAGCCTCCTGAATAGCTAGGTTTACAGGAATGAGCTACTGGTGGTGCCCAGCTGGAAGTCTCATTTCTAAGATATTTCACATGCTCATATTTAATGCAACTAAAATATTTCATACATATATATTTTGTATAGAGGCAAATATTCCAAAATATAGAAAAATCTTAAGAAAAACATTCCAAATCTAAAACACTTCTGGTCCCAAGCATTTCAGGCAAAGCATTGCTCAGTCTGTACCTTTACACCTGCCAAAGACTGCAAAGCGTATAATCATATCACCCTCATTACACACAAAAAAACCCAGCCACCAAGAACTTCAACTGCAAAGCCACAGAACTTATTATCCCAAGTGTAAGAATGACTAGCACATGTAAGTCTGCATTTGCCAGCTGTAAGTACATGTGAGGTAACAGATACCTGGTTCTCAATGGCCTTCCTATTCTTGGGGTCACTGACCACGGACAGCTGCAGCTCCGCCATCTTCTTCATCTTGCTGTCCATGTCAATCTTCTGGAGCAAGCCTCGAGTCTGGCTCTTCAGCAGGCGCACTGTGTCCTCCTTCCCATGCTTCTTTGCAAAAAGGGACGCACACGCAGAGTGTATGGCTGTGACCCAGTTTTCCAGATCTGTCTGGCTAGTGGCCTGAACATAGAAAATATTTTAACACAAGATACTCTCTAAACAAATGAGCAGTAGTACTCACTAGACACTATGTTGAAAATGAACTATACAACTTATGGGTGGGGATGGGAGAGAAAAACTGGGAAAGAGGGAAGGAAGAGGTGACATTGTCCAAAAAGAAATGTACTTTCTACATGACTTATATAACTGTAACCCCTCTGTATATCACCTTTATAATAACATTTTTTTAATTAAGGAAAGTACTCTCCAAAATTTCCTCTGATCTTGCAAGTAAACACTTGCTACAAAGTGGCCACAAATGTTAACAGCAGATCACCTGAACTTGAACCTCCTGACCAGTTTCCACAGGGAAAGGAACCTCATAGCATACGTCCACAGGACTTCCCAGAGACCTGTGGCTTGACTTCCACTGCCTGGACTTCTGCAGGCTTCCCAAAAAAAGCTCTGCTGCAGACATCATGGACATCACATTCTCTACACTGTGAACTATTTGCAGGCAGGGATTGTGAGTTTCCATCCCATAGGCCATAGCCTGGCATTTAACAGGCACCTGGGCAAGGCCTGCTGTCACAATGACTGGACTGGACCTCTGGCACTGACAGTTAACAGATGACAATGTCTCCTGCTCAGGTCCTAATTCAAAGCCTAACGAAGTATTCACTCTATTTACCTTTTAGTTCTTTTGAACTTTGTGTGTGTGCATGCATGTACACACACCAATATTGGGGCTTGAAGCTAAGGGCACTATCCCTTAGCTTTTTCACTCAAGGCTGGTGCTCTACCACTTGAACACTTCTGACTTATTTGCTGGTTAACTGAAGACTTTCCTGCCCTGGCTGGCTTCCAACCTGGATCCTCAGATCTCAGCTTCTTGAGTAGCAGGATTACAGGTGTGAGCCACTGGTGACTGGCTTTCATCTCACCTAAATCACACAGAAGCCATCGCTTCCAGCTCTGTTTGCACAAAACCAGCAGTACCTGGAAAAGGTAGACATCTCCAAAGGAGTTGCTGAGACAAAACACATGCTCCTTCTTGGGGTGCTCCGGGACAGACTGCACAATGCTGTCCTCCACAAAGAGGGCGCTCCTGGGCCCAATGCGGGGTTCAGCACAGTTCTTCTCATAGGTCTCATAAAACAGCAGGGTGCAGCCTAGGAGAGATAGAGGCCAAGTAAAGTCTGTGCCACAGGACCTGAGGACAAGGGAGGAGGTGGGGGGCCGGGAACGGACGGACATGAGAAGGTAAATTATACATCTGAAAACACCTCCAAGGCCTGACTGAGGTGGCTGCTTTACAAATGTGGTAAGGAAAAGCTGGCTTACTTGCATGATATGAATTGGAATGAAAACGAGGCATAATGTACCGCATGTGTGTTTAACTCCTCCAGGTTCTCTGCACACTGGGTCATTTTAACTCAAGCTATCCTGTTAGGAGAACATGGCTGTTCACCTCTGCTGAAGAGATGACAATTCCAAAACATGGAGTCTTCCTGTGTGGGTCCCACAGGTAGACCGCAGTTGAGCAGGGATATGAATGGAGGCCCTCTGGCTCCTCGTTTTTAAGTACAACACTATTATTTATGAAATCTAAATATGGAAAGCCAAAGAAAGTCCCATATTTCTTAATTACATTTACAATTATGGTCATGAGAAACTTGGCTACTTATGATCAAGTGCCCAGCTTATCCTCCAGACGCATGTCAAATAATTGAATTTAGTGTATTATTTTATCCCACAAATACATGTCTGTTTCAAACAATACTCTAAAAGTGCTGATAACTAGACTTCTTTGTGTGTGTGCTGTAACCGGGGCTTCAACTCAGGGTGTGGGTGCTTGTCCCTTAGCTTTTTCACTCAAAGATGGTGATCTTCCACTTCAGTCACACCCCCACTTCTGGCTTTTTGCATTTAATTGGAGATAGAAGTCTCACAGACTTTCCTTCCCAGGCTATCTTAAAACTGTGATCCTCAGATCTCAGCCTCATGAGTAGCTAGGATTACAAGTGTGAGCCACTGGTACCTGGTTTACATATACTTTTAAGTACTTATTTTCCCCCAATAAGCTTGTAAAGTATTACATGTAGACATTACTAATGGTCTTCTTTAATGATTAGATAGGAATCCCCTTATAATTATTGGAAATGATTTATTTTATTAGCACCCATCAGTTGTACAAGGAGATGCTTCCTTGTGACATTTCCATGCATGTATACAATGTATCCAATCAATCTCACCTCTTCTGTCACTCTCCTTCCGCCTTCCCCCTCCTCCTTTTGAAAACAATTTCCCCAGGTTTCAATTTGAACAGTTTCCACAGTGCCCTTGAAGGGGGCCTGGAGGAATGACAGTGGATGCTATTCTTGCCACAATGGCAGAAAGAAACCCACAAGTAGAGGGCTTGAAGACAAGAACAGAGGCCATAAAAATAGGAGACAGTCTCAGTCCTTCCTTAAATGCACCTTTTCTTTGTCACTTTCTGTCCCCTCACTGTCACTCCGTCTTCTGCAGGCCTGTCACAGGTAGCCCCCCTCCTGACACCGTGCAGTGTGAGTTTTGAGGGACATCGCCAACTATTCAGCCTAGGATGTCCCTACAAGTCACATATAATTTGCTCATTGGAAAAGGCAGACAGAGAGCACAATTACCTCTGTTAAAAAGGGTAATTCTGAAGCTCAGCATTGGTGGCTCATGTCTCCAGTCTTAGTTATTCAGAAGGCTGTGATCTGAGAATAGAGGCTCAAAGCCGGCCCAGACAGAAAAATCCCTGAGACTCTTATTTCTAAACAGAGGACAAAGGAAAGCTACAGAGGGAGAAAAGCAGAACTCTAGGTATTTCACACATATACTGTCAACACATGTGATTCACCTTTCTGCTTTCTTCCAGACTGGGAAAGGGTATCACCTGATAATGATTTCAACCACTACATTCAGCTCTTATGATAGAGCAGCAGAAGAGCTGTGCAGAAATGCTAGAGGTCACAAGGCTACTTCTCCTGGTAGCCTCTGTATAAATCAACACTGTATGCATTGAGGGCTTCATGCTTCCTCATGAGATACTGAGATTTCTTCAAATCTACACAACCAAACTAGGCAAAGTGATTCTGATTTTTAAATGGCAGTGCTTTTATTAGCTTAACACATTCCTGCTTCTAAAATTCTAGCTTCTGTTTCCTTCACATGAGAAGAAAAAGAAGGAAGGTGGGGAGGGGAGGAGGGAAAAAGATATGGAAGGAAGGAGGACAAAGGAGGAAAAAGGAAAAGTACATTTGATAACAATTTCTTTTTTAGTTCATCAAAGTGGAGTGATCCAGATACTATTCAAGCTAGGAAGAGTACTATTTTGTAGTTCTGAACAAGTACAGAATATGAAATTCAAGACCTATATTCCAAATAAGTTTAACCACATTTGGTAGATATTTAGGTGTGTTTTTTTTCCAGATGCAGCAAAAGTATCAAGGAACAATGCAGTAATACACATGAGATAAATTTAAAAGTGAAATTTTTCTTACTAGACTGCTTATATAGAATACAAGCGTAATGTATATATGTATGTATATATTATTCACATATATGTATAGATGCTATACACATCTATACATATATGTGAACAGTAAGTAGACTATACTATACAGTTCCTCAGAGTATTTGCAGTGTAGTTTGCCATAAGATTCTGTTTGTGAACCCTTCATATTATCTCACATCAATGCTAGTCTCAGTGGCCATTCCCAGGAGAACACAGCTGAAGAAAACAGTCATCATACTCCTTGGCGAGCTGGGCTACTTACCTTTAAGTGTCACCCAGTACTGCTTCCACTTCCTCCGGGCCACCAGCTCCAGCTTCCTCTCTTTCTGCAGGGTGACAAGGGGCTTGAAGAAGAGCCACCCAGCCTTGCGGACCACACCCTGCTCCTTCTCAAAGAGCAGATCCAGTTGCTCGAGGGAGCTGAGTGACTCGCTGCTGGACTCCACAGTTTCTGTAGATGTGTCTACGTGCTCAGTGTTGGTCCTGCTCATTTCCAGCTCCCGCATAAAATTCTCGTAAATGTTCTGTCGGAGGGGATCACTGCCAATCGCCTGAGTGGATTCGCTTCTCTGAGACAGGATCTGGGCCGAGCCTCCGGACCACAGGAAGGCAGATGTCTGAGAGGGTCCCTGCACATCTGCATTCAGCCCATCAGAGCGGCTGTCGAAGAAGTCACTACCCTCCTTGGACCTTGGCTCCTGTTTGTGACAGAAATGAAACCATCAGAGGCTCCAGTAGTCACAGCATCCTCCCTCAGCACAGCCTCAGTGGACCACTGGGGATGGCTAATAGTGGTGCTACAAAGCAAGATCCTTGTAATAAGAAACACCTTAAATCATCACACCTCCCAACCAGGAAGAATTTTAGAAAGTGTTATCCACCCCAATTTATATCCACACAGTCAACACTTAAAGAGGCAAATAAGACACCAACTGTCTCTCCTAAGTCTAACCTCTATTTTATATCAAGAACCTAACTGAGCTGGGTGCCTATGGCTCAAACCTGTAATCCTAGCTACTCAGGAGGCTGAGATCTGAGGATCGAGGTTTGAAGCCAACTTGGGCAGCAAAGTCCACAAGATTCTTATCTCCAATTAACCACCAAGAAAAAAAAAGCTGGATGTGGAGGTGTGGCTCAAGTGGTAGAGCACTAGCCTTGAGCAAAGGAGCCCAGGGACAGCAACTGAGCCTTGAGTTCAAACCCTAGAAATGGTACACACACACAGAAAAAGAAAGACAAAGAGATAGAGATAGAGAAAAAGAAAGGGAAAGAGAAAGAAAGAGAAACTAGTATATCTAGTTGTTGGCTTACACTTATAATCCTAGTTACTTTAATGCTAAAATCTGGAAGATCACGGTTTGAGGCCATCACAGGCAGAAAAGTTCACTAAACTCCATCCCCCCCATAATCAGCAAAAAGCAGGGCAGGAAGGTGGCTCAAGTAGCAGAGCACCAACCAAGCAAGTCTAAGAACCTAAGTTCAAACCCCCAAACTTCTGGAAGGAAAAGAAAGAAAAAACTAATATTTTTTTTTGTTTGTTTGTTTTTTTGGGTCCAGTCATGGGGCCTGAACTCTGGGCCTGGGTGCTGTCCCTCAGCTCTTCAGCTCAAGGCTAGCACTCTACCACTTGAGCCACAGCGCTACTTCCGGCTTTTTCCTTTTTGCTTATGTGGTGCTGAGGAATCGAACCCAGGGCCTCAGGCATGCAAGGCAAGCACTCTACCACTGAGCCACTTCCCAGCCCCAAAACTAATATATTTTAAACACATTAGTGAAGATTTCTGGCATTTTCCCCCTCCTTTCTGACTATAAATCAATGTCTTCCAGGAAGAATTCAAATTCTCATAATCTATTTTTCTCCTAGATCACCTGAAAATGAAGTTAGAGAATCACTCCAGACAGGGTAGTGAGGATAGGAATCAGGTGTTGTTATACAAAAAAAAAGATTTTCTCCCTCTCTCTTTGGCAAACATAATCTTCAAAACCTCTGGCCACAGCCTAGACCTAGATTTCTAGACCTTATTTTCCCATTTCCTATTTAAAAAAAAAAAAAACTTGCACCAAGGATTACTTACATCAAGGGTACTGCCTAGTGAACTGTAGCTTCTTTATCATGATTCATAGTTCTTACTTAATTTGGGAATTTCTTTCCAGAAAAGAACATTTTTCTCCCATTCACATCCTTTTATTTGAGAATATATTGTATCCCACTGGAGATACCAAAGTAACTTCAATGCTGATTAAACACAAGCAGCTCTAAATAATATTCACAGAGATATAACTACTGCAGCCACCTATGAAGACCAGAGGCACTGACATAGAGCTAAAAGCACAAAAGTGTTGGTTCTATGTCTAGCTTGCTTTTCACTAAAGCTATCCTTCATGTGAGCCACTCCTTGGTGAACAGCAGTAATTTGATTTTTCACCAAGAAGTAACCCTCAATTCTGCCTCAAAAGATGCTCACATTTCAAATTTACAGCTTGCATTAAGGTAGCTGCAAAGAAATCTAAGCTCGCTGTCTACTCAGCTCCTGGTGGGCTTTCAGTAATATTTCCTTGTGCATTAAGATAAGATGGAGGAGAGCAGGCCCAGGACACTGAGGAAAGGCCGTACTTTGTCCCACAATGTGGAGAACCTTTCTTTCCAGAAATTTCATCAATAGCATTTCCTTGCTGTCTTAGGCTGGAAAATCACCATCACTAACCAAAGAGTATTTCCAAGTACAAGAAGCTAAAAACAACTGAGCCCCAAACACAGATATTACTAATGAAAATATTATTTTCTACTGTGCTTACACCATGTCTCAGAGTCTTGTTCACTTATACACAGATGCCTTTAAAAACAGAGCAAATGAGCCAGTGCTGAGTCACCACAGAGGCTTCCAAAGTGTTTTCAAATTGTGTTGTAATTGTTACTCTGTTAGTCTTCAAGGACTCCTAGGAGATGAAGAAACACTTCTCAGCTGGTGTTAGCCTTGTTTTAGTTAGATGTTCCCCACAAACACGGGGGTTTCCTCTGCTTCAGAACAAGCCGGACTTTGCCAGAGAGACGCCTAAGTGTCAGTGGTCCGTTTGATCTATACACACTGTTGTCATTGTTTCTCACAACACAGAGACTACGAGCTGGAGGACTGACTTAAATCTTCAACCAGCACAAAGCAAGAATCTTCTCCTACAGACATGTGGATATGTTGCATATTAGCATTTGCTATGATCTGTCTACTGAACTAAACATTTTTCCAGGGGCTGATCAATTCCTAAAACTTTCTATCTAATAGCCACTGACAGACTGTAAGGCTAAAGAGAAAAGGGCTCGCTGGACACCAGTGGCTTATGCCTGTAATCCGAGCTACTCAAGAGGCTGAGATCTGAGGATTGAGGTTCAAAGCCAGCCCAGGCAGGAGAGGCCATGAGACTCTTATCTCCAATTAATCACTAGAAAACCAGAAGTGGCACTGTGGCTCAAGTGGTAGAGCACTCGCCTTGAGCTGAAGAGCTCAGGGACAGTGCCCAGGCTCAGAGTTAAAGCCCTACAACTGATTAAAAAAGGGGGGGCTCTAATTGTTTTTAAAGTTTCTTTAGAGAGGTCCTAATAGAATTCTCAATAGCTGTGTTATGGTTGTAACACTAAGGTGCTTGCTTTATACATACACAAAGGACATGATTTCATCTCTGCCCCATCAGACAAACAAGAAATAGTTAGTGTGTCTTGATGGCAAGGCACTACAGCTAAAAGTAGAGAAGTCTTCAAGAAGTGTCACGACATAGGAATACAAATACCACACAATCTCACTCACATATGAACACAAAACAGTGAAACACATGAGAGGAGAGTAAAAAGGAGGTTGTCAGGGGCCAGGGGGTAGAGAAACAGGTGTTTGTCAAAAATTGCAATGTTTCAGTTACACAAAATAAGTAAGTTCTGGAGATCTAATGTCCAGTATTATGACTATCGTTTATACTGTCTGTGTACCTGAACCTTGCTAAGAAAGTAGATCTTAGATGTTCTCACCACAAGAGAAGGTTAACTATGTTACATAATGACTAGCTTAACTGTTGGGATCACTTTCAATGTATATGTATTTTAAAGTATCAGGTTGTATTCTTCAAATATATGTCATGTCCATTTGACAATTATACCCCAGTAAAACTGGGGGAAAGATGTCATTTAACTCCTTAAAGGTCACCATTCCTCATGTTCTGGAAGAAAATAGAAAATTATCACGTTGGTAGTGTTCATATGCTACTCTCCTTCCTACTGGGCTGAGGATGCTGAGAATTTTAAACACAGAAGGCCAGCCACTGAGGGCTTGTGTGTCCTAAATCTACTCTGCAACAAATCTGCAGTGGCCCTCATTCAGAGTAGCCACCAAGTATCCCCAGCTCTCCTCTTGAGCACCTGATAGAATCATGCCCCGCCCCCTCCTTCCCCTGAACTTAGCCATGGCCTTATGCCTTCCTATGCCAATACCATTGAACAGAAGTCAAATGTGTTAATTTTGGAGGAAAGCTTCAAAAGCCAACACACAACTTTCTTTTCTTCTGCCATAGTTGTTTACAGTATTGTCAGTGGTAGCTGCTCTGGCCCCAGGTTCAGGGGTCTTGGAGAATAATGAAGACCTGAACCACCATCTGACTGTGACGGTTGCACAGTGAAAGTGAGAAATAAACCTTGGTTGTGTTGAACCACATATTTAATCAAGGGGCTTTGTCACCTCAGCAAAACCTAGCCTAGCCTGACTGATAAAACTGATTAATATAAAGAGTTCATCTGCACGAAGCACTTACTACTCTCTAGTACATATTCTCCCTCCCTTCTATGTCTCAACCCTCATAATTAGTGTGATATTCCTTTTCAGTTGTATATGTTTTTTCAAAGAATAATCTGCTTTCAGGTTCTCACTAACATGGATGGGTGAAGAGCCCTATACAGAAAGAGCTGCTTTTTGGGGTACCGCTTGTTTTAAAAACAAAGACAAATGTCTATCCATCCCATAAGACTTTCTAAAACTATTACTCTCAGTGTGAGAGACAGTAGATATTGCTTTGATGCCTTATGAGGGCATATTATTATCACAAACTGTTCTTATGTTTGGATTACATTTTTTTAAGCCTCTAGTCCCTACCTTTATCTTAAATTGTGAAAGGAAAAGAAAGGCCTGGCCAGTGAAAATCTCATTTGTATTTATAGACTATCAATTGTAGGAACATAAGCAAAACTAAAGGCTGTCCTCCCAGTTTTTAAAATAATTTTCCGTCTTCCTACTGAATCACATTTAATAGTGGTTATGAACAACAGCTTGGGTGTGTAGCTAAGTAAAGCACACTCCAATTGGGCACTGACCCTGCCTTGCCACTGACGGAGACTCTCCGGGAAGGACATTCCATCTGCTTGACTCTTGAGCTTCCTTTGCATTAAATGAGGAGTACATTCTGGCTTTTAAATCCTGTTTACTATATTGTTACTTATTGTTCTCTACCAACACAAGAAATGGTTTAGATTTAAGTTCTGTGTATGACACAAAAATGAAGGAGGTCTGGCTCCTGTGGGAAGCCTGGGGGGAAGGAGGGGACAGGACGATGACCTACACCTGACAGAACGTGACACAGCAGCAACTGTTCTGCTTCTGAACTGAGAACTCAAGCTAGTGGATCTGGTACAGACACATGTAAGCCAGCCCATACACACAGACGAGAAACACAGAGACATGGGGTAATGGGCTCCATGGCAGAACCAACCAGGAGACATGGAAGATGACAGCTGAACATAGCTAGTTCTTTAACACCGGAATTCAGTGTGCATGTGGGCCACAGCCTGGACGTCCACAGGGGCTCCTTTCCTCATAGGACTCAATTGCGGTCAATTGGGAAATGGAAACTGGGAGGAAAAGGTTAAAGAAATCCCTACTACTCTGTGTCTTCACCTAAGAAGTATTTATTTTTATTGTTATTATAAAGGCAATGTTTAGAGTGGTTACAGTTATATAATTCAGGTAAAGAGTACATTTCTTTTTGGACGATGTCACCCTTTCCTTACTCTCTCCCTGTTTTCCCTCCTAGTCCCACCGCCCCCAAGTTGTACAGTTCATTTTCATCACAGTGTTTTGTTTTGTTTTGTCAGTCATGGGTTTGAACTGAGGGACTGGGTGCTGTCCCTGAGCTCTTTTGCTCAAGACTAGTGCTCTACCACGTTGAGCCACAGTACCACTGCTGGTTTTCTTGTGGTAATTGGACATAATGGTCTCATGGACTTTCCTGCCTGGTCTGGATTTGAACCATGATCCTTAGATCTAGCCTCCTGAGTAGCTAGGATCACAGCGTGAGCCACCAGTGCCCAGCTTGCATTTCTTCTATTCATTTTTTAAAGTATTTTAAAAGCATTAAAAGTTAGAACAAATAGCTAATATGAAGCTCAGTAGTAGAGTGCTAGCCCAGCATTTGTAAGGCCCTGGATTTAATTCTCAACAACACATACATGTACACAGTAAAAGCAGAAGGACATTACCAAGACCTAGCAAGATCTCTAAGTTACTTAAAAGATCACTTTTCATTCCTGATGGCTGAGTCACTTCATTCTTATATTAAAACTCTATATACTAATAAAGGCACTATTAATACAATTAAAGGAACTAATATCAGTATTAGTACTAGTAGTAATGGATTACTATTATTATTAATACATTCTGATTATTGTGTGTGCCAGTACTGTGGCTTGAACTCAGACCACTGCGCTATCAGCTTGCTTGCTCAGGGTTGATATTTTACCACTTAAGCCACTCCTCCAGCCCAGCTTTTTGCTGGTTAATTGGAAGGGAAATCTCAAGGCCATTTTCTGCCCAGACTGGATTCAAACTACAATCCTCAGACCTCAGCCTCCTGAGTACTAGTGTTCCAGACATCATCTATCATCCTGATTCTTATTTTATCAGCATTATATTTTTATTATATCTCCCTTCATAGGAGACATTTTTAAAAAAAGAGTTTGGTTAGCTATTTACATGAGGAGGTGGTCAGATTATATGCACAGACACATTGTCAGCTCCCTACTTATCAAAAAAATAAACCATCTAGTACTTTTCCTTTTTCTTTGAAGTTAGAGAATAAGGCTGTGCAAAACCGTCAGAAACAATTCATCCAGGACTTGTCCCCAGGTCTGCACTTTGTAAGAACAGGTGGGACCAGCTTTAAATTAGTCCTGTGAAGATCACAGGCACAGAACACAGGTGCTGTGGACCGAACACTCCTCCCCTCATCCAAATCCTGTGCTAAAACTTTAACCCCGTAGTAGGATGTTGCATGGCACAGGGGTACACAGATGAGGCAGACGGTGGGGCCTGCGAAGGGATTAGTGCCTTGTGAGGACTGAGTGTGAAGGCTGCTGGAACTCTGAAACTCTGACCTCCCAGACTCTAGGCCTGCGATAAATCCATCTGTGGTTCAAGCCACCAGTGGAGTTTTGTTTTCAGCCTGAGTTAAAGTATGTCAACATGGAAGTTGTGGGCTTAAGAGTAAAAACCCATACCTGAAAAGATGTGCCAGGTCTTACACTGACTCCCCTTTTGCTGGCTCCTCCCACCAGCCCTGCTTTACTGATGAGGACACTCACCTGGAGTTTCCTCTTCTTCCTGGAGAGGCTTCCTGTCCAGTCACTGATGCGTCGCATTCTGGCCTTGAGGGTGTCCTTCTTTGCAGTGTCTTCAGTTAAGGCTTTGGACTTCCGGCAGGGGAGGGTGAAGGAACCATACTGGACAGGGTCTCTGTGCTCCACCCTGGATGGCACATCGATGTCAGAGGCAAAGGAGACACGGTTGCCAAGACTGGCATGGGAGCCGATATAGTCATCGGAAAGGCAGATGCCCGAGGGGGAGCGGCTGTCCAGGTTGGCATCTTTGTAGAGTTCTCGGAGGGAGGAAAGGGAAGAGCTTTGGTTGAAAGGCTTTTTGGCATCGGAGGGCGGGAAGCTGGGGTCGGGCGTGCTGGGGGCCAAGAAGCAGCCCTCCACCTCGCTCAGCTCTCCAGCATTGCCCCAAGGGGAGTCGTACCAGGAGGACTCAGAGCTCAGTGAGCTGCCCTTGCTGGAGCGCAGGCGGGAGTCGGTGGGAGAAGGGCGCTGGCTGGCTGGGGAGTCGGCGCTGGAGTCCCTCCTGGCATCCGGCACTGGGGAGGCCCCTGATGCCAACGTAGGCGAGTACCTCAGCAGCTGCACTGGCCCACCGGGGTCCTCAGCAGACCCTTGGCTGTGGGTTCCACTGTTGTGGAACTCGACCCTCAAACAGCCATCTAGCTTCCCCAGCGTCTTGATGAGCACCCTGGGGCTGCGGCGGTCCTGCCCGGGTGGGGTGCAGCCCATGCTCTCATTTCTCCCGTAGCAGTTGAGAAGGTGTCCATTGCAGTCTCTGGAGGTGATGTGGTTATCTGCTGGCTCGCGGCTGACATAGTGGAAGGGGTCGCTGCCCTGGAGGTCAGGTCCTGGGGTGTTCACCCTGTGCTTGGGGTAGACGGTGCCTTTGGAGACTTTGCCTGTGGATCCACTGAGTCTCGGGGCGTAAGGCTGATGAGTCTTGAAATGAGAAAGGCAGCTTCGGGCCAGCGACCTGGACTTGTAGCCTGCTCCACTGCTTCCGTGAGTCCAACCGTGCAAAGACTTCTCGTCTTTGGCATGGCTGCTGCGTATTTTCAGAGAGCAAGGCTTCTGCTTAGCACCAGTAATGGCATTGCTATGACTTTTCGATCCTTGGAGGGTGTACTGACTCTCAGAGTTCCCCATGTTAACCTAAATTAAGAACAGTTACATCAGTAAGAGCCATGGCCTAAGTTACACCCCACTACGATAGAACTTTGCAAGCAAAGTAATGTCCTAAATATTTTACAGCTTCCTTCTCTGCTGGGTATGACTCAAAAGGAGGAGTTACAGGAATTACTCCTGATGGTGCAAGGCTACTCACACAGACAGCATCACCCCCATGTGCTTGTTATTTTAAGCACATTATCGATGATATGTTATTAATGCAGAAATCCAACAGGCATAAAAATCAGCTGCAGGCAGAAACATCCTTCAGACTTGGTGTTGACAGGTTTTGAGCTAAGGATTCTTGAAGAACCCATGGGAAAAGTGCCGCTACTCCATCAGTCCAGACACAGGGACACGCGATGATCAGCAAGATGCATTCTCATTACACAACAAATGAGAACTAAGAAGTCGCATAACATTTGGGGATTTGGTTCTGGGATCCTCACACCTTCCAAAATCTTACATGCTGAAGTCCTTGATGTAAAATAGTGTTGTATTTGCCTAGAACCAACAAATTTAATGTATACATGTGTGTGTATGTATGCATGTGTGTGTGTGCGCACGCGCACGCGCCAGCCAGTACTAGAGCTTAAACTTAGTGTTTCATGCTTTTGCTTGGCTTTTTTGCTCAAGGCTGGTGTCCCACCATTCAAGCTACACCTCTACCTTTGTTTTTTTGTTGGTTAATTGAAGATAAGAGTCTTATAGACTTTTCTGCCAAGGCTGGCTTCAAACCTCAGTCCTCAGATCTCAGCATCCTAAGTAGCTAGGATTATAGGCGTGAGCCACCAGCATCCAGCTCATGTAAACATTAAACCTACTCTAGACTATAATATGATGTCAATGCTATATAGAGTTGTTGTCCTGTATTGCTTAAGGAATAATGACAAGAAAGGATTGTACGTGCTTAGTACAGGTACATTTAGTGTAAATATGTCCATTGTGCAGTTGGTTAAATCTGCAGCTGCAGAATGCTCAAATAGAGAGTACTGGTGCATTAGAAGTTACATAAGAACCTCTCACATTTATAATTAATATAACTCCAGGTACCAGGCACCACTGACATTTTCATTATCATACAAACTAGGAATATCAGCATAGAAAAGGACTTAAGTTCTCAAAATGAGGCTAAGGTTTAAGACAGGGAGCTGCTCTCATTTGGGCAAGAAAAATAGTTCATGAAAAGAAGAAGGATGAGCAACTGCAGTCATTATATTCATTGTACAGTATATAAAGACTGAAGTATATCACTGGAGGGTCAGGATAGGAGCGGGAATCGTGGGGGAGAACAATGGAGAGGGTGTCATTGACCAAGATGCTTTATACTCATAACCTGACTTAGGGAAGTTTAACCTCTTTGTTTAATTACTTAACATCATTTTAAAAATTTTTTTAAAAAGAAAGAAAATTTCAATAAAATCAATGCCTAGAGCTTATGTAAGGACTTCGTTATCCTCACGTTAGAACATGACAAGAGAAAAATGTTACAACTGATGTTACAATTGACAATGTGGCTATCATAAAAAAAAAATCTTTTTAACCATTAGATTCTTTTAAACTCCCTTCAAAACCATACTTTTCTCAAGAAGCTTATTAGTTAAGCCAAGGACAAAGTTAAGGTCTTCTCCAAATCTTTACTTTTCCATTTTAACCAGTGTGTCACTTTGGGGGGGGGGGTAAATAGGAGGCGATAGCTCCTATTTTCCAAGTATAGTCAGTAGATTTTAATTCCTGCATAGCTAAGAATACCCAGCCATAAAACAGAAGTTAAATGGATTGACTTTCCTTTGGTAACATGTATTAAAACTTTTTAAATCTATATCACTGGAACAAAATAACCCTTGACCTCTGTTATTAGCAGCACACATGATTACCTGCACACCTGTCTCGGCTCTGAGCGGGGTTAATGGTCAGTGGGCCTTACATGGTCTTGGAGCAGCGCAGTGGCATTACAAGCACCTGTCATCCATGAAGTGACTCTGAAAAACAAGAATAGGAGAAAACTTCCTCAAGCACTGTACACTCAGCTCCCCAAAAAGCAAAAGCAAAGGTTTTGTGTAGAAGACATCACTGTCAGAGTAATGAGATGTCTGTGAACTGCCTGACTCATCAAGGCTATTTGAAGATGTGAAGGAAGCCACAACTGTCCACCCATCAACCCAAAGTCTGCCTTTGTTTCAAGGGAAAGCAGGTGAGAGTGTTCAAGTGAGTCACACCTGACTCATCCTTCACCACTGCACCCAGGGAAAAAACCTCAGACTCAGGAAAACAATGCTCAGATACTGGCTAAGAGAGTATTGAAACACCAGACAGTTCGGGAAGGCTTGCTGTTCTTTGTTCATTGCTTATCCAAGCATTGAAACAAAACCAAAACTGTAAAAGCACAGTGAACCATCCTTGTGTAAAACAACTTAGGTTGTAGAGATGGGCCTCAGCAATGAGATTTTTTCCCTCCAGCAGGGGCAGGAGGCCAGAGTGGAGGGAAACACTGATGTCCAGGCCTTCAGAGAAGAGAGAAGGAAGGGGGGTGAGAGGAGGGGAGGAGGAGGGGGGAGGGAGTGGCTGACATCTGGCATTATTCACTGCCCTGCACAAAGCCCTTATTTTCTCACAGAGGTGGAGAGCAGAGTGGAACGGGTATAGGAGTGACTTGATTTCTTTTTATGGATTTGATTTTATTTGTAATTGTGGAGAAATATGCCCAACATAAGCTTTCATCCTTCTAGGAGTGGCCACAGTCTTCCATAGCTGTGGCGCCATTCTACATTCCCACCTACAGCACACCAGAGCTCCCATTTCCCCACAGTCCCCCCCCCCCGCCCCCACTGGCTTATTTCTGTTTTTGGTTTGGTTTTCCTCCTTGTGTTGGAGTTTGGTAGCCCTTCTGGAGGAAGGAGGAATTGTCTCCCATCCCCTGTCACTGAGTGAGGCCCTCTTATCATGTCCTTACTGGCTACTGTCTGTCTTCTTTGGAGGATTCAATTGAGACTTTTGAAATTGTGAGAGGGGAGCAAACAGCACAGGATTCAGAGTTTTATAACTGTGCCAGAGACTACCTCCTACGCCCTACTCAAGTCTAGCCATACAAACACATTTTAAATTAGAGAGAAAGAGGAAAAAAAGGTAAAGTGGATTTTTTTTTAACTTGGCCACCAGCAAGAAACCTAGTGGTCTATTAAAACTGAAGCCAGAGTTGGGCGCTGATGGCTCACATCTGTAATCCTAGCTGCTCAAGAGGCTGAGACCTGAGGATCCACGTTCAAAGCCAGGTCAGGCAGGAAAGTCTGTGAGAGTCCTATCTCCAATTAATTCACAAAAAGGCTGGAAGTGGTGCTGTGGCTCAAGTGGTAGAGGCTCTAGCCTTGAGCAAAAGGAACTCAGGGACAGTGCCCAGGCCCAGAGTTCAAGCTTCAGGAGCAGGGGAAAAAAAAAAAAATAAAGCCATGCCAGGTGCTGGTGGTTCACAACTGTAATCTCAGCTACTCCAGAAACAGAGATCTGAGGAGTATAGCAAAAAGCCAAGGGACAGATAGCACCCAGGCTCTGACTTCAAGCCCATACCAGTACACACACACACACACACACACACACACACACACACACGAGAAGAGAAGAGGGAGGAGAGGAGAGGAGAGGAGAGGAGAGGAGGGGAGAGGAGAGGAGAGGAGAGGAGAGGAGAGGAGAGGAGGGGAAAGAAAAGAAAAACAACCAACCCCAGAGGTCAGCATTTAATTAAGGAAACTCAACTGGAATGTGCCAGGCAATTGACATTTACCTTGCCATGAACAAGGATCCCATACAGCCAGGGGTGGATTTGCCCCATCTCCACGCAGAACTTAACAGCACAACCTTTTAAAAGTTCAAGACCTGAGCTATTGGTCTTCCCTCTGTGACTTTTTTTTTTTAAGTTAGAAAGCTGAAAGTGGCAATGGACGCTTCTGGTTTAGACCTTTACCATGAGCTGATCAAAGGGAACCATCTGCTATCTAGTGATGGCAGATCACTCAAACAGGAAAGGTTCCTGCTCCTCTCTTTGGCAGTCCTGCTGGTCTGCCAGCAGCCACAGCACACTCCAGCTCACCACCCAGAACAAAACTGCCTGTCAGAGGCCGATCAGAGGCTGGTCAGAGGCCAAGTGGCAGATATCTTGGACATGTGAAACCAGACTCAAACCAGAATCACTCTAGGGTGGAAGTTGGTACCCCAGCAGCAGATCTTATCCAAAACGCATCTTACTACTTTTGAAATTCAACAGCTTGAGATGGGGGAAAAGGGGTAATGTGTGTGAGAGATAGACAGAGAGAGGGAGAGGGAGAGAGATTGCAAGAAACAGCATGAGACTATCTTTTACTAGAGCTAGCCCCTGTTGAACTGGATGAAAGCACTTCGTCATTAGAATGTTGATTTGGACACAGAGGAAGCAGGAATCCCCGCTATTGGGTCTGGCTGGAGGACTGCTGCACAGTCCCAGGAAGAACTCCTCTGGAAAGAAGCCTGCAGCCTGGAGAGGGGCTAGCATTCTGCAGGAAAGGACAGGGCCATGGTGTTCATTTGTACAGAGGCACTGTGCTGCCCAGCTGTCCAAAGCATCTGGTCAATTCCCACAGTGAAAGACCCTGCCAAACATGGCAGCAAGAAGAATTTAGTCGTGAGAAACCTGTCAACAAGAAGGGTAATCCTGGAGGGAAACTGTGTCCCCCAGCACCCTGATATCAAAGTGAACAGATACTTCTATTTCTCCGCCATGCTCCAGCTATGACTTCAGTCTAGAAATAACCACATTAATTTTATGGTATCTGGGTGGAAGAAAAAAAATGAAACAAATTTCCTACAAACTCCTAAAAAATATGAAGAAATTGTTTAAAAGGTTGGTGTCTGAAAACAGCAAAAATACACATTATATATACTCATATGAAATAATACATATTATAGTTAACTTGCATTCTTAAAGTTAACTTGAAATAATGCATATTAAAGTATACTGATCTGAAATAATATATATTAAGTAATCTACAATAGAATGTATTAGGTATTCCTAATGATTAATATAGCAAGGCCACCAAGCTGATAGAGGTAATATGTGACATCATTCTAAACATTAGTCTGGTACTGAGGCAGTTTATACTATATTATATGCTGTGCATATACTTTTTTAATAATTACTTTTTAGTTATTGGAAATATTTTAAATGGCCACAGTCCCTTAAAAAATCCTTGTTTTCCATTTTCTATATTTCCCTCTCATCCCCTCACACATGCATGTGCTACACAGAGTTTTCAAGCAAAATCACAAACAAGAATGGAAGTTCCTTTCAGTATTTAAATTGTGAACTACCACACTACAATGTCCAGCGGTGTGAAGGAATTTCACAGACATGCCACCATAATCCCAACAGCCTCTATGACCTATTGAAAACCAGAGAAAAAAGAACTTGCAGGAGACAATCCAAGATTTACCTCATCTTCACGTGCCCTCAGCTTACGCTGCACTGATGTGGCAGGGGTCCGAAGGTACTATTTCCAAGGGGTTCTGAATTTACTGAGGAGAAAAACTACTCCTCAACCAGGACTGCGGTGTGTCTACCCTGCACAGCGCCCAGATGGAGAACAAGAGGCAGCTGTCGGGTGGGCAGATGGTGTGGTAAAGAAGGGTCTGTATGGAGGGCTGGGGCAGATCTGGGAGCCTGCACAAAGGCAGATTTATGGCTGGGCCAGACAGAAGAGAAACACAAATTCTAGCAACAAGAGACACTGACAGGCTTCATGCAACTCCAGAGGGATTTTTTTTTAAATATATAACTGGGAATCTCATCTGGCACAAGGCAAATTCTTAAGTGCTAGATAAGGGTTGGCCATGCCCCCATCCTGATACCTGCCAGCGTCTTTATTTTTTGGCTAGGGTGGGTGGGCCAGGGGAGCTTCCATATTTAAGGAATTTAGTGTGGTTTGTGTTAGAGAACTTGGGTTAAAATCTGTGACAGTCTCTTGTCTGTCATATGCAACTTTGGGGGGAGAAATTTATCACATTCTCTGGAATTTGTTTTCCCCTTTTGCAACATGAGGGTAAAAATATCTGCCCACCTACCTCAGAAACTGAGAATCAAGTATAGGAACATGCATGACACCTGAAAAACTGCAAGATGCAACACAGTACTCTTTATTTTTAGATAGAAAACTAATTTGGTACATGATGATATCAGATTTTATAATAACCATTTGTGATCTCAGATCTTCCCTTAGCTATTAATCATTATTCATATATTTATATATGTTTGGACTTTTCTAAATTCTACTATTACATGTGCCTGATTTTCAGTGATTTCCTCAGATAACTACAGCATAAGAAACAATCTGATTTAAGCCAGACAGTGGTGACTCACACCTATAATCCTAGCTCTTCAGGAGGCTGAGATCTGATGATCACAGTTCAAAGCCCGGCCTGGGCAGGAAAGTCCATGAAACTCGTATCACCAATTAACCACCAAAAAAGCCAGAAGTGGCACTCAAGTGCTAGATCACCAGTCTTGTGCAGAAAAGTCTAAGGGGAAAAGCCTATGCCCCAAGTTCAAGCCCCAGTACCACCACAGAAAAAAACAAAAACAAAAAAATACTACCTAATTGTTAAGAGGTATCAAATGTAAAGAAAAATAATGACTTGCATTATTAGATACTCAGGGAGTAAAATGTAAGAAAATAACCCCAGTGATCACTGAACAGCCAGTATTATATTAAAGCAGTTATGTAAATCAGGGTGACTTTATCCCCCAGGGATATAGCTTGACTGTCACAATTGGGATTGTGCTATTGGACCAGAGCAGTTGCCCGCCAGACCACAACACACAAGGAAGCCCCTCCCCCATCCAACAACCACGTATGTGGCCCAAAATAGTGCTGAGGCTGACATTTTACTATAGCATGTGTCTCTAAAAATGCTAAAGGGCCATTATGACTACAC